AAACAATCCAATTAAGATGATGCTGATGCAATCAGTATAATTCCCTGGTGTACTATCCCCCACCAGTTGAGTGCAGTTTGCCTCAGCTGGATCCTTCCCCAGTTCTCAAAGACTGGAAGCAGCTTTCAGTCACCATGTTGTTGTTTCAGACACCTGTGTTGGACAGCAAAAACAACAGCCCCAGCCCCCAGTACTATTCAACCAAGACAAATCCTTTGAAGCACTACACCTGGAATACGCTACATTACACTCAGTTTTAAAGAAGATTCACCAGCCTTATCTCCATGTGGTGGTTCCAGTTTTATTTATAGCCCAGAAGAATATTCCAGTCACATTGATGATGTTTGTCACATTTGTGTTGGACAGCAACAATAACAACCCAAGTTCTATCAAAGCAATCCAATAAGATTATGATGCTGATGTGCTCAGTATCTCCAATAGCTCCTCTGTCAGATGAGTGCAGTGTGCCTCAGCTGGATCCATCCCAAGTTCTCAAGGACCAGAAGCAGATTTCAGTCATGATGTTGTTGTTTCCAACCTTTGTGTTGGACAGCAACAGCAACAAGCCCAGCCCCAACCCCCACCAGTATTCAACCAAGACTTATCATCTGACAACCAACATCTGGAGTATTTGCTACACCATCACACTCAGTTTTAAAGAAGATTCAGCATCTCCATGCAATTCCATTACAGACTGGAAGAAGCTTATGGCCACAATGTTGCTTGTTGTTTCCAACTTTTGTGTTGGATCACAACAACAACCACCTCTTGCAGCGTGACTGCAACCATTGTTATTTAACCTCCACCTCCAAGGGTTTTTGTGGGCCCAAGAATATCAAGTAGTGTTTGTTTCCTTTTTTTTACCACTCCATCACCTGTGTCTTTGTACACTGTGAGGGAGCATGCCTTAACTGGCTTGGCAGTGTGCTTGACACTTATTTCCCTGATCACTGTGATGTAACTCACCTTCTGGCTTGGCAGTGCACTTTGAAATGATAATGGCATGGTTCTCATCCATCCAAACTGTGAACCAACTCCTTCTATGCCATCTGAGTCCAGCCTCAAGCCTTAATTGGCTTGTCAGTTTTCATAGAACCTGGTCATGCCTCCACAAAACCTCTTCAGAGGGAGGCACCCCCACCCCTCAGAGCAGCTAGGAGCATTCTTCTCCCTAGCAGGTGAAGCTATGGTTCTGGCCATATAGTGCCTCTTCTAGTTTACAAGGTTAAACATAATATTTTAAGATTTTTTAATGCTTCACACTTTACAATAAGTTCTTACTACCTAGTAGTAAATTCAAACTGGAACTACTAGTAGTGCTACATTCAATAAGTCCTTTTGTTTAAAGAAAAGTTGGAACCAGTTCATACTAGTACTACTACTAGTAGTAGTGGGTGCAACAAGAATGGGCTGACCAATATCAACAAGAAGATCAATTGGAAGAATAGTAAGCAGGAGTTCCAAGAACTCCTGGTTAATTAATACTAAGCAGGAGTTCCAAGAGCTCCTAATTAAGAATTTGCAATGTGGTTGTTATTTCAATATTGGTTTTCATAACCTACAAATGATTACTCATAATCAATGACTGATTTGATTTTGTAGCTTCTAGTAGTACCATATTTAGAAAAATTGTAACATCAACTTGAATCACCTAGCACTAATACTATTTTCAGGGTGTTTCCAGTTATCCTAAATTTCTATTTCTTTGTTGATAGTAGACTGACAGAAGCTAAATTTGGAAATTAGCAGAAGAAACCTTCTTCCCAAAGTAGCAGTGAACTACTGGCACTTTCAAAATCCTTCTTGATTTCAGACAAAAAGTCTGAATGAAAAGAACAGATAACAACAAGAAGCCCTCCCCAAAAAAACTGAAGAGGCAATCATTTTTGACAATCAAACCTTTGTTGCAAACAATTTTGGATACTTCTTCCTCTGTCCCCCATGATTAAAGGAGTTCTTACTACTAATAGTCATGGTGTTCTATGTATCTATTTTTGCTGTCCATCAATAACAAAGGCCACAACTTTGGATCATCAGTGCCAGTGGGAGGATTTCAAAAACAACTGTGTACAATAGTAAGTAGAAGAATTTGTTCTGATGGAGAGCTTGTACTACATTCTAGAAAAATAAGTCTTTGACAAGAATTTCTGGCTACTGATAATTGACAGTAAACCAGCATCAAGGATCCCACCACCACATTCTCTTTTGATTAACAATGAAGGATCAAGAATGTGTATCATGAAAGAAAAGTTCTCCATACTGCTTACTAAAAGAATTGGAATCTCTAAAATGATTAACAGTTGATAGGGTACTGCTGGTGGTGTGGAACCCTTATTTTGTACTACAAGAAGGAGGAGTAGAATCAAACCTGTTAGTAGTACTACTATGCCACCATGATCATAAATGGTACTGTTTGATGAGCTAGCACTACTATTTTCCCCTTCTTTCCACTTTTTTCCCCTTCTTTCTTGTATTAGTTGTGTTATGTCCTCACAGTATTTGTGTGGTGTATCTTTTTGTAGTTGTAGTAGTAGTAGTAGTAGTAGTAGTAGTAGTAGTAGTACTACTACTACTAGCATGATGTTAAATAATGTAGTAATGACTAGTACTAGTAGTAGTACCACCCCCACTACTAGTACTATTATCATTAGTAATAGTACTAGTAGGAGTAGTACTAGTAGATCCACTAGCAGTAATAGTTTTTTTGAAAACAACAACAATAACAGGAGTAGTAGCAGCAACAACATCAACAGGAGGAGGAGGAGGAAGAAGAAGATCAAGAATGACTGTTCAAACCATACTAGTACTACTTGTTGTAGCTAGTAGTCTACTAGTTAGCTATCAGCACTTCTACCAGTATAAGTTGCTTAGGCAAGGAGACTCTCATTTGGGACAGAGGAAGTACTAGTAGTATCACAAGTAGTAGAAGAATTGTTGACAATTTCCAAGAATTTCCAAAATTTGTGCTTCTGAAAACTTCAAAAATGAAAAACGAGTATCGCCGTATGTACCTTACGTATGATTGATCCCAACATACGGTACTTGTACTTTTCCAGGGTCTTCTTGTTATGAACCCTTCCGGTCCGTGGAGATGCCGTGTCAGCATTGACATCCGAGATTCAGCGATGATTTCTGTCACGGAACCAGCTGTCGAAGAAGAACACGGACTGATGATTCGACGAGGAATGGTCCGATCATCGAAATTGTCATTCTCGTTCTCTGTTCCTTTTGGTAGGAGTAGAGAATTTCGAAGAGATTTGATAATTCGATTAGATTCGAAGAATTTCCAAATTTTGAAACCTTGACAGGATGACTCTTCGCAAATCGTGAATCTAATTGGAGCACGTTTCGAGTACTACGTACTTCCTACGGTAAATTGAAACGGCCTCGGAGACTCAGCATTGTTGATTTTGAACGCCGAAACCATATAAATATTTGAATTCAACGTCATAACCATATGTGTCATTGGGGAAACGTGCTTCGCTTGACACAGAAGACATCAATGGGCCTAAAGACGTTCTTCGAGTGCGAACACGGAGAAGAAACAACTCATATGAGATGCAATGCTTGGGGATTGTACTGGTAAAAAGCATACGACACGTGCTCTTTTTTCGGCCTACCGTGTTGTGCACCAGTCGCTCAGTAACCGGCACAGTAAAATAGTTCCTCTAACCAGATGAGAACAAGCACGATTCCAGCATGATGCCGTCGGTCTTTTTTTTCCTGGACCTGGAGAAAGAAACGAAAGAACATACAAGTGCAACTACGTACCCGTCCCACGGAAGGAACATTACAAATACCAGTACCCGTGGTACCATGCCCTACCAAATTGCCACTGAGCATTTTTTGCCCATCTGTGCACGACACACTTTTTCGTCACACTAACTATTCGATTCAGTTCACTCATCAACACCTTGCAGCTGTCATAAGTCATCATAAAAAGCGAACTGACCGCAATACACACTGATTCATTCAATATTATCAGTGTAACAGTGACACTAATTCACAACCAATCGTTTACACACTCATTTAAATTTCCTCGCACAACTGCGACTATCTAAAGTGATTCTTTACAGAAGAGGTGTCATCGTTGCCATCTTCTCTCTCAACGAATCTCATCATCACAAAATCGATACTCTAGCTCCTTATTTTTATTGACGTGCTTCTCTTATCACGATTTTGGAGGTGCGAATCGACAATTCAATCTCACTCATAGCAACCACAATATCAAGTCTCACCAAACGAAGACACACTCTTTTCTCAATCCCCACAAAATTCCGACTTTTCTTTCGGAACGAAAAGAAACAAGCAGCAAACATCGAAGCAAGGAAGAAACACCAAAGAACCACATCAAATCAAACAGAGCAAGCGAAGTCTTCACACTTCAATATACACAGATAACAATGGCACAGAGCGTGAACCAGCACATGGTGACCGGTTTTGGTAGGACGGTGAGACGCATCAGGAACCCCAACCCACAAGATGTTCTTAGTGGACGAGGCGGAGGAATCAACAGCCACGCGGGGAACAAGGCATTCCGCAGCTGGGTCGAAGAGCGAAAGCCCGCGTACAACCTCGCCGAGAACAAGCAGGCTAAGACCGAGGTCGCCATGCAAGTAGTTCAACAGGTCCATAACCAGCGTCCAGTCGCCGGAAGATTCCTCACTAAGGACAAGAGCATGGAGGGAACAGGCGGCACAACTTGGTGGGTAGAAATCGATGAGGCCAAGGCGCTCGCGAAAACTACCCAAGCTTTGCGAGAGGGGGCGCCGAAGATTCGAGAGGCCCTCCAGAACCAAACAGGCAGTCCTCTGTTGGGTCCAAACAGTCGTCCCAAACCCCCTAAGAAGCGCAAGAGAAAGCCATCTGGCAAAGCAGCAAACAGAGATGGATCAATTACCACGGCTACGGGTCAGCCCAGAGTGGGAATCAATTTGGGTGCACCTTTGCTGGATGATGATAGCGAAAAACAGATCCTCCAGGAATTCAAACAAGACGTATGCCATCTGAAACGCTACAAGTCGGAGCAGCTCCTCTTGCCCACCTCAAACTCTAACCTGAAACAGGTTTACGATCAGGCTCTGGTTCAGCTCCATGCAAACGCCGAAAAAGCAAAGAAAGTGGCTGCCGAAAGGACGGGGGGAACCCAACAGAATGTACAAAAACCGCAAACATTCTTTCCGGCAACCGGATCTCGAATTGCACCTCTAACCAGCAACAAGGTCTTCAAAGAGAAGTACAGCCAACAGCAACAAGGCAATGTGCCACCGGCGATGCCAGCAATCGATCCCAATGCCGCCACGCCTCCGCTTATGGCAGCTCCGGAACCCAATAATAGCATTCCCTATTTGAGTTTGAACGCCCAACCAGCACCCAAGCGCGCAAGGCTTCGTCGAAACCACAGCCTGGCCTTATCAGATTACGACGAGAACGCTCTAGATCCAGCTACCGACGAAGTGCCGGCCTTTGTGGATCCGTTTGCCAACGAAACGGATGTCCTCCTAAACAACAACGGTGTACTTCCGTCTCACGCAACCTCTTTTGTTCCTGATCAACTAAGCAAGAGCGGGGACAGATTGGCTGAAACTAGTGGACAATCAAGGTAAGCATTCGAAATGAATATTCGATGTCACGGTTTTGTGAGCATTTGATGCCGAGAAGGCCTTCGGTTTTTGTCCTCTTTGTAGTCGCTAAAGCATAGCACCTCACGTACTGAAGTCCTGCTTACTTTTTCTATGAAAACGATCGATTCAATGCATAACAAAACAGCAGATTGAACTACAACAGATCCGTACATCGATACCTCGATAGAATCTTGTCATTTTCGTCAAACCCGTTGCATCTTTGGGAGGATGGTTTGAAGGGAAATAATGAGCAGGTTGAAACTCGCGTTGTTGACATCAGAGATGATTATTTCTTATGCGATGCCTTGCCCCAAGATGAATAGGACGCGAAGATAATCATGAGGGTGGTGTATCAAAGCCCCAGGAACCTCAGACAAGAAGATGGATATTGTCAAGTCCATTCTCCCGAGGCATACCCAACAGCATAATTCGATGTTCCTAGTTTCGTGTCATCGCAGATCAGTTTTTGTATCAGAAGCAATGAAACTATTGAACCGAGATCCTGACCAAGATAACCTGTAAACATACTTTCAAGTGGCAACGCGGTTGGATGGAACGAAACCAGAAAGTGCCATAGAACAAACCAGAAGCCATCAGAATGTTGCCACGCAGTAATCATATTTACACGATGACAGTATGCCACCAAAAGTGACTGAGGAACAAAATGTAAGGAATGATCCACGCGTCTTTTTCCGGTACACATACACAGTGATTGTAATATATATCTGACGACTTTCAGGGGAATACAAAAAGTCGTAAACATAGAACAGTTTTGGAATAGCATGAAAATACAATAGTAGCGATCGAAGACATTGAGCACACCCGTTTATGCTGTCTCATCATCTTGGAAAAGCGCATCGTAGTAGCAGCAACACGAATATCCCCTCTTGCATCAACATTTTACATCTAATTTGGGACAGGTTCAACACCAGCTTTGTAATAAAATTTCATCTTACAGTAAAACACACGGCGCCATGGTTTTCGTATATGATCTGTGCATGGCTTGTTCTAAGAATTTCCGATGGGAAGTATCCGTGTATGTTTTGTTCGACTTTTGTGTCTGCAATTCACGAGGTGTTTGCAACAATAGCAGCAGCATGTTCTTTTTCCAAACTCCCTGTGCAGTCCCTTGTTGTTGTTGAAAGAGTCCACTCTTCAGGTCTCGTTGCATCAAAAATTTTGAAGACAAAAGATGATGAGTTTTTGTGCATTGCATTTCCTGGAATTCCATTCCTGTGATTATTCCTTGGATAAATTCCAAAGATGGTGAATGCACCAGCTTCTTGTAGTTTGTTTCAAAAGAAGGGAGAAAATTAGGTGCCTCTTTGTACCACTGCATTGTGGGTTGTGCAATGCCACTAGTAGCAGTGGTATTTTGAAGCAGTACTAGTACTAGTACTCATTATGCCACTAGTAGCCAGGCTTGGAAGCAAGAAAGAAAATGAGAACTGCTGGCTGTACATCATACTACTACCTAGTAATATGAGTAGTAGGAGTAGTAGGAGTAGTAGTACACAAATGGTAGGAGCAGAGGAGATGCGGGAATAATTGTGATTGTTTGATTGGATATTGGATAGTATTGCTTCAAAGTAGAGGAGGTTTTCTCCTTAGATTACTACTACTAGTAGTATGTCACCAGTACTAGTAGCATCTTGATTCAGTTGCCATCTGGTGTGCAATGATGGTTTTAGTTGACATGAAAGATGACAGCAAAGAACGATAACAATCCAAGTATCCCTTTTTTGTTTGGCTTGTAAATATAGTAGGAGGGAACATGGGATCATACTAGATTATGTCATACTATTGGTAGTAGTACTACTTGTTGAAAGTTGGTAATTTTTGTTTTGGCATTGCCATGCTATATGACTAATTGCTGCACTATGCACCACTAGGATTTACATGGAGATATTAGTACTAGTACTACAACATGATGCTTTACTACTACTAATACTAGTAGTACTACTTGTAGTAGTGGTGGTCAGTGTTGCAGTGAAAGGAAAATTTAATTGCATGATGACTTATTCAAAGAATATGGTGATAATACCAAGAACAGGAGGGGCCTACTGGTGCTAGTACTACTATCTTCAAGTGTTATAGACAAGTAGATAATCTTCATTCCAATTGGTCAAATCAGAAGAAGTTATTGGAAATTCAGGTGACATACCACCAGCAGTAGAGGACAGAAACTATCTGAAATTGTGGTGTATTTTTAGTATAACAAATTTGGTCGTACAGAGGCATTTAATTATTTCTAAAGGTGCATATTCTCAAAACTAGTGTCTTGCGAGGTTGGAAGAGGTCCAGAACACTCCTCACTCAGACAACCACCAGTAGAAATACTATCTGCAGGAGGGGTGCTGGTGGTTACTACTAAAAAATTTGCGTAAGTGCCCACTACTACTAATGGATAACATCCATTAGAGCCAACAAGAAATTAAAGAATTAAAATATTTTTATTTTTGTCTCTTTGAGAGTTTTCAACAATTTTTTAAACTGTGAAAATGGCTAAAAAATTGAATTGCAGCAGTACTAGTGTTATTGAGGGAATTGCCTTCAACTCGCCACGATGGGTACTCGTACCGGTAGGAAGGGTGGGAACCGTAGGTACGGTACGAGTAGCTAGTAGGGTTGGGTGAGTCGGCATCGCTTTAACCTTAAAATAACGGCCAACGGCGACTGCTCTGTACAGACCCATCAAAAAATCAGCACAAAATTAGATGATTCTTTTCAAAAACAACAAAAAACCCGGCCTACCGAAATTTTTTAGTTTGAACTCCCTCTTCTCAGTTGTGTCGACCTTCTACGGTACGTACCGGAACTTGTATTTACTTCGTCCTCTTCCCATGCAGATTTGACGAAGCATCATCTGCTACTACCACATCTACCAATATCAATAGGCATTACTAGTTGGTCGAAGAGAAGTTAAATCAACTTTTCTATAAACGACATACCTTTTGGGAAAGAGGAGATCAGATTGCCGCAATCGACATTTTTCTTGAGTCTTGACTTTGCGCTTCCACCACCAACTACCGGTTTGAACTCGAGAAGTTGAAGGAATCAAAGCATCCACTTCACGCGGCGTACGATACCATCGAAATAAACAATCATGCCGGACTCGGCACGGCCAACAAGAAAAAATGGACTCTCCCCGCCGTACACCCCTGCCCAAATATCCACTTGGGTTCTCCTGCCCTTTCTGGTTCTGGGATTCCTCTTCTTTGTGTCACCCATCCTGCCACTAGCGGCGTCGATTCCTTGTACAATCCTCTTTGTCCTCTCTGCAATCGCCTCTATATATCATGGATACATGGCAATGTATATTGATCCATCCGATCCACGGCTCTTAAATGCCAATCATAGCAACAATCAGAACCAAAGCGGAAGAGGAAACGGAGCTTGTGAAAACTGTTATGTCGATCCCGAAGAACCGACCAAACAATGCTGGATATGCGATGTTCAAGTTGGAGAAAAATCAATGCACTGCAAATTTTGCAACAAATGTGTAGATCATTTTGATCACCATTGCATGTGTACGTACTGCGCTGTATTTGACTGCTCGCCAACTTCCAACTGTAATGCTGAGACAACAGCTCCGAAATCAAAATGTGGTTGCATCATTTTTTCCCGTATCCAGTTGGTTCGATTATTGATTCGCTAAAACGCTGGATTCATTCGTTCAACTTCTCTCTCATATAGGGCTGAATACATGTGTCGGCAAAGCCAACTATTCCTACTTTTTCAGAACCATGGTTTGCATCCTCATAATGTTGCTTATTCAAGCTATCATCCAAGTTTTTTTGATTGTTGCTATTTACGTAGGAATTGGGGAAGTTAAACGAAGAGCGTTAGAATGGTTTTCTGTGAATACAACAACACCGGTGGTAGTGGGCATGGGAATTTTCTTGCTTTTTGATTTAGTGTCCATATCATTGATAGGACAGTTATTGATATTTCATTTGAAACTTCAAAAAGAAGGCATAACGACGTACCAGTTCATAGTGCGAGACAACAAAAATCGACGCGAACGAACCAAAAAAGAATCCGACCTTAAACTTCGACGGAAAAGTGCAATCGAAAGGGCAAAGGAGGAGGGGAATAAATGCCTTTTGTTTCGACTCGAGAATGGAGGTTTTTTGCGTGAAAAGTGCGGCTTGTCCTGTTTCGACCCTCTGTCGCTAGACGAAGAGACTACGGAAAATAACAATAGCACAGACGCGAATGCTCAAAGTAATGGTGCGCCATATTAATACCTCATTATTCAGGGGATGAATGAAATGAAAGAATTAATTGCAACATGGAATAAATCATTGAACCAATCTATTGGATTTTGACGAAAAAAAAAAAACTGCCCTTTGCATGCTCTATAACGCTCACTGTGTGAATAATATATTCTTCCTAAAAACTCATACTTTCATTGCATGTATTGATGTACAAATTATACTATTCATGGATTTCAAAAAAGAAATAACCGGTTTTTACTAGCAAGTACTTCATGCTGAACACAGGTCAGTTTGAATGCGATTTAGATTGCATCAAGTACGGAACGAATAAATGCGTAGCGGTCTTGTGTGTATCAGTAAAGAATACGACACGGCAATAGTTCAGTAGAATAACGAAATCTGTTGCTCAGAATTTGCCACCCTTCTTGATTCCCATCTTCGCTGTCGCAGCCTTTGCACGAGCCAAACCAGTTCCACCACCTTTCAATAGTCCTCCACCTTGTCTCACTTGTTCGTTCATTGCAGCAACTTCCCCTTCCAACCAATTGAAATTCTTTTGGCGTTTCGCACGTGCCTTGCCATCTTTCCTTTCTTTTTCCTTTCTTCGCTCTGACTCGATGAATTGACCATCCAAGCGAAGCTCGCGGCTGATCGCCTTGTGCTCGCGCTTGTATTCGCGGCGGGTTCTATCGATCGCGGCCTGCGCCGATTTCTTGCCCTTATCGCGAGACATAGAGTATCGTGTTGGGTCTTCCATACGGGGGGCCAGTGTCTTGATGGCCATCTCGCTCGCCGTCGGCTTTCCTCTCCGCCGCAGCGGGATTCTCTGAGCTGGGCATACCTTTGCAATCAAGGCGGCTGTCTTGGAGATTTTCTTTTGAAGGGTGATCGGGTACGACTTCGGTTGCAGACTCAAAATAGCGTTGGTAATATCATAGAGCATTTCGGTCTCGGCGGAAACAGAAAAAGAACCGTTAAGGGCCTCGACGTATTTTTCTGCCAACCCAATGCATAGCGAAAGCAATGTCACCGCGATTTCGGGGCTTTCCTCGCTCATTATAAAATCGTTTTCGATTTTCAACGAAGGAAGAGATGCATCTTCATATCTCGAGATATTCTTGCGCAGTGACTCGCAAAATGGTTGGTTGTACGCTGTTTGAAGCGCAGGGTTTGTTAAGTTTCCGGCGTCGTCCGGAGAAAACAATCGAATCGCCGAAGCAATGAAACTCAAAGCTTCAGGAACAACTCGCTTTGCTTCCTTTGAATATTCCATCAGCAAACCAGAGCACAGGATGCCCATGGTGAGATCGTAGGTAGATAAAACAGGGGTTTGAGCCGTGTACTGAGCTAAGAGAAGGATCGCTGGCGTGACAACGTGGTGACGGCGATCCGTGACGGGAAAAATGTGTCCGAGCGAACGCATCAGAAGAAACACCCCAGTCGTTGGCCATGCACTCCAAAATCCACCGTCTTCCATTTCCTCGTCGCCTCGAATAAAACTGGAATCGCGCAATCGTTTGTCGTGGGCGTTTCGGAGAATCCCAATTCGACGGCTCCACACGGCGCCCGCACTCTCAGGAGAGTCCTGGGCCATGTCGTACATAACTTTTGTGATGCAATTCAGTTGTTCGTATCGCCCGAGTTCTTGCCCGCCGTTCCCGGAATCAAAAATTGCGTCCCCGACTGCCACGAATCTACGGAGCAAGACATCGTAAAAGTTTTGCATCTTCTCTCCGTTCCGATGGTCTAGGCGCACGGAGTTGGAAGCGTGTATTCGTTTGATGATCGTCGAAGCGTCTTTTCCCGTAGATGCATATCTACCGATTAAATCATGAAGCCCTTCTAGCGTTGTAACCGCTTCGAACACGTATGGAATTTCCGATCTTTGGTTGTACAGGAAGAGAAAGAAAAAACATGAGTACAGTACAGAGTAATATTACCTAGGTAACGAATGTGATTGCCAGGGAGACACACAAGTGTTGATATCATCTTGAGGGTACTATGTGGCATAGTATTTGTTTTTGGTGCTTCTTTTGTCAATACAAAGATGCGAGGGCAAAACGCCCGGAAACACCTCTGAAGACACGCGTACAGAATGTGCAGCAACGAGGCTGTACACGCACGTGCGACAAATGGAATAAAGAAACACCGAGATGACAGGTGCGTTACGGCTTGTCAAATGCATACATATGTTGTTATTTGTTCCTTTGTTACGTACCGGGCTTTTTCTTTTGCCATTTTCCGCTTCATTTGCTCCAGCTTGGCTTCATTCCTTTTCTGTTTGTCTTCTTTCTTGATCTTCTGAACGCTTTCTACGGGACGAACATTCTTGGGGATCATGTCTTCTTCGGTATCGCCATCGTCGTATTCGACATCGTACGTGACAGCACCTGAGGGGCTTTCGTGCACCTTGGTGATTTTCCCCTCGTACCAGTTCTCGCGGCCCTCGAATTGCTCCGCCGCCCTATAGTTGGCGCGGACGCGCGCACCCTCGGAAAGCGGGTGGTAGTCTTCGTCGTCGGGTTCGTCCTCTGAATCGTCGCTCCCCGAGTCCGACTCGTCGGCGTCGTCTTGTTCTATGAAGGTTCCATCTGCTGTGAATTTTACCTCGTTCCCTTCTTCCTCCTCGTCTTCCGAGTCCGACAGCTCGTCGGGACCCCGTTGTTTCGGCTTCTGCTTCTTCCTCCCCCCCTGGTCAATCTCAATGTCCGAAAAATCGTCTTCGTCAAAGTCTCCGTTCATTCTGGCCATTCTCCGTGTTTCTAGTTCGTGAAGTCGTTCCGACTCTTCCTTAGCGATTTCTTCGGGCGTCTTAGTTCGGTCGGTGGCGCGCCTCTTGGGTTTGGCCATCATCTGTCGTATCTCGGAGTTCCACTCCTTCATTTCGTTGTCTTCCTGCGTCGGTTTGGGAGGTATCAGGGGCTTCCTCTCGTTCTTGCGGTACCTGAGCAAAGCGGAAAGCTCCCCAAAGTCTTCGTCCATTTTTTCGAAAGTGTCCACCTGCGTTTCCTTAGCCTGCATCTTTTCCGCCTTCATGGCTTTACGACGGGCGATTAGGTCGTCCAGCTCGGTCTTCCTCGTTTGTCCGTAGAGCTGGGACAAGTCCGTGCCCGAGGCCATGGAATTTCCGTATGGATTGGACGATCCCATCCCCGAACCCCCGAAATGCAGCTCCGTATCTACCGCCTCAAGGTTGCCGCTCTCGTCGCCTTCGTCGTCCGAATACATAACCTCGCTCTTGTTTGGATCGAGTTTCTTCCCCTTGTGGGTAAGAATGGCATCGCCACCACCGTCGTCATCGTCCAGTCGGAACTTAGAGGACCGATTAGATTGGCGGGTCCGTTCCTTGACCAACCGAGCCAGCATTTTGTCTTCCTGGGACATGCCTGTGTCGTACTGACCGATACGGCGATCGAGAAAGGTGTTGTGCTTTTTCGAGTCCTTCAGGTTCGATCGCAGGGTGTTTTGTCGCCGCTGCAGACTCTCTAGTGCATGCTTGGTGGATTTCGGCTTGGATACCGGCCGGTTGTGCACCTCGTGCTTAGGACGCTTGAACCTGGCCGTCATCTCAAAGGGGTTTCCGGGATCGCTCCCGCCGTTTCGGCGAACGAGGCCTCTCGGCAGCGAGCTTAGGGTTCGCTTGGCCTTGTTGTTGCGTTTCCCCATGTTTCTTCGTTTCCTCCCACTCTAGATATAATTTAGATTTAGGGCCTCTGGGTAGCACCTTGGCTCGGGAAGAGAGAGAGAGAGAGAGAGAGGAGGAAGAGAAATACTGGAATGGATGTGGTATTTGACAATTTTCCTTCACGACACCATCATCGATTCTTCTACTGTAGTATGGTGTGCGGTACAGATTCTTTAGAGCCTTTTCTCCTCGATTTTTTTTCTCGGATTTTTGAATGGTAACAACAACAGCGGTTTTGGTAAACATCGAAAGATCACTTTGAGATTGAGATTCCCCATTCCGTCGTGTTTGACCCAACTTTTTTTAGTCATGAACTTGGGGTCGATGCAGATGTCACCCACGATTCAATTCAATTGAAGAGCGGGAGTAGTTTGGGGTGTGTGTTTTCAAATTTCAAACTGCCCCTAAAACTGTTTTCGTACGTAGCGCTTGTACGGTACTCTACGAGTACCATACTTACTGTAAGATACTGTAGGTGTTATCGTGATCTCCAATTTGAATTCTGATCTGAGTCTCCATCAACGAACGCTAGTTTCTGTTTCAAAGTGGGGGGGGAATCTGGAATTTAGTGGAAAATCTGAGTGAGTAAAATTAAAAAAATACGAACGGAATAGCAATATCCTACAGTACTCGTCGTAACGGACTTACGTACTACGTAGTACTCGTACTGAACCAGATCGTAGAATTCAGAATTCAACATCCAATGTTTTCGCAAAACCAAAGGAATCTCTTGCTGCAAATAACCAAAAATCAATGACACAGCAGCTCCTTCAAATGGTCGATACGGTACAATGAGACATTCCCAGTGATATTCGTACTCCTACGCTATTATTGATGCGCTTTTCGACGCTTTATTTATTTCAAGGGCCCTTATCGTCGAAGGACTCTCATTAAAAAAAGGTTACGGGGTCCTCTGAGACCAAAAGAACCGGACGAAACGCCGACTCATCGTTCGTCGAGACATTCTTTGTCCCCTTTTTCTTTACTTTAAAGTGAGAGTCACGCCACGTCGCTGACCCACAGACGATTGTTTGCTATCGAAAACGTCCAACAGAAAGGCTGCTTGGGTGGGACGGATGGCGGCCGCTGGCAACGGGTCCACCGCCGAAGAGATCGACGCAGGCGTTCGAAAGAAGGCGAAGAAGATAAGTGGAATCGGCGCTGATGGCTGGTTTACGGAGACCGCGCCAATGTGGCCGGGGCAGAAGTTCTCTCTCGCACTGGACCGCGCATCGTCGCCGAGCAGCAGAGATAGCAGCATCCTCTTCCACGAGCAGTCGGAGTTCCAGGAGATCCTTGTCTTCCAATCGGCGCAGTACGGCAAGGTATTTGCAATTGACGGCATCCTGCAGCTCACGGAGCGAGACGCCTTCACCTTCCACGAGATGATGTCCCATCTGCCGCTCTTTTCACACCGGAACCCCGAGCGGGTCTTGATCGTGGGCGGCGGCGACGGCTTGGTCCTCCAGGAGGTCCTCCGGCACAGAGAGGTTCGAAAGGTGACGCTCGTCGAGATCGATCCGATGGTCATCCGCGCCTCCAAGGAATGCCTGAGACTCGTCCCCCCGGAACTGTATGACGATCCGCGGGTGGAAATCATCCATGCCGATGCCGCCGAATACGTTCAGGATCCAGAACACCACGAAAAGTTCGACGTCATCCTAGCGGACACGCTGGACCCCCTGGGGCCGGCCGAGTCCCTTTTCGAACCTGAATTCTACGAGTGCATGCACGACGCGCTCAGGGCGGGTGGAATCGTCTGCACGCAGGGGGAGAACATGTTCATTCACTTCGAGTTGATCCGGGACCTCGTGGCCTGCTGCAAGGACATCTTTGGGCACGCCGAGTACGCCATCACGAGCGTCCCGTCCTACCCCTGTGGTCAGATCGGTTTCATAGTGGCTCGCAAGGGTCGGGACAACCGCAGCTGCAGCTCCCCCATCCGGAGACCCACGCCGGTCTTTCAGAAGCAACTCAAGTGGTACAACCCCCAGATGCACCAAGCGGCCTTTGTCCTCCCGGAGTACGTGAAGCAGGAACTAAGCGGCGATGCCACAGGAACGAACGCGAACGGAAACGCAATCACGAACGCGGCCACGGGCTATGCCAATGCTGGATACTACCATGACGACAACGACGGGGACGAGGAAGGCGACCGGTGCATTTTGTCGCAGTGCGTCATTAGTTGACGAACAAAGCAACTCAAAGCAAACCGGCAAGAAATACATGGTTCCACAATCGAGAACCCGCTAACGTGCTATCTACTAGGATTGGCCTGGGCGATTTGAATCGCTAGCCTACATCACAATATTGTTACAATGTCCGAAATAGCAATATCACTACTACACAAAAATATACTTGTGAAAGGAAAACCAAACAAGTTTGTAACAAAGCTATGAATAAACTTGTATTAGCTGTGTGCTGTATTTTTCTTGTCTTGATCGAATCTATCGCTAAGGCACTGTACATTAGCTTTCACCATATGTTATATTGCGAACAATCTATTTGAAAGGAAACCGAAAACCTTTCCCAGAACGCTCATTTAAAGTATCATATCGTCACAACTAGATTGCGAGTACTTTCGCGGCCAAGCATGTTTGATCTTTAAAGGGTGCGTTCTCTTCCCGTACCACCACTCGCAAAGGCAATTGAGTTAGAAAAGGAAACCAAACCTCTTCGAAGATTCCTGGTATGAATTGATTTGGTCTCCTCTCCTGTTCTCGTATGGTTGTAAACAACTGGAAAATGCGTCAATGACCACCTTAGACATACTCCTACTTGTACTATTACGTACCGGCCGTACCGTTGAAAAGGCATTTGGAAAAATCCCAAATGCGAAAAAATCCATAAATTTCCTTCATGACAGTTTTTCGTTTTTTTTCAAAATGGATATTTTATTTTTTATTTTTCTTATTCTTTTGACTCATTAGATCGAAACCGTGACAAAAACTTCGATCGATGAACCTATTCTTGATAGTATCGGTACTGGTATGACTGTATGATTACTATCTACTTACAACACGTTTCGATCGAGTTTTCCAGTGATGGTGGAGACGACCAAAATATTCGTCATCACCACGCAATCGGTGAAGAAAAATGCTACATCATCGTCACGCACACTATTCTTTGGTTTTTGGTTCAAAATGGAGACGTAAAGTGCGACTGGAGAGAATCTTGCTCTTCCAAAACGCCACCTGCTTGCGTTCTCGTTTAGTTCTCCTTCGGGTTTTTCGAAGCTCGTACCGAAACATCCCTAGGACTCACTTCGTTTAGTGTATTGCCAAGCACAAAGAGTAACCTTTAGGTATCACCTTGTCTTTCACCACCACTTGAAGTCAGTTTGATATTTAGCGACACAAAGTTTTCGACAACTAAAGAATAGCCATGGCCCCCGACGCAGACCGTCTCCGACAACGCCAAACCAAGGTTCTGAGCGACAAATCCGATGCGGACTCAACCGAACCCGTCCTCCGCATCTCCACCCTGAAGTCGATCGGGGAAACCGAGATCGTCATCGATGGTGGAATCTATGACATCAAGGACTTTGACCACCCCGGTGGCGAATCCATCCAGTTGTTCGGAGGAAACGATGTCACTGTTCAGTACAAAATGATCCACCCCTACCACACAACAAAGCACCTCGAGAAGATGAAGCGTGTTGGTACAGTTCCCGATTACAGCAGCGAGTGAGTTCGCCAGCCCGTTTTCCCGTTATACTACGAGTTCTTTCGAATATCGGTGAATAATGGTTACGGATCCATTCCACGCAGATTGCGTTATTTTTCCCACTTTATTCTCTTCTCACCCATCATCTCCCTCTTTCTCATGCTATTTGTTGTGTGGCACAGATACATCTGGGACACACCTTTCGAGCGCGAAATCAAAAAGGAAGTGTTCAAAATTGTTCGCCGCGGTCGTGAGTTCGGAACTTGGGGATATTTTGCTCGTGCCTTTTTCTACATTGGTCTCTTTTTTGCCCTTCAATACTACTGGGTGACCACCCCCACCACCTATGCGTTGGCTATTGTATACGGCGTCTCTCAGGCCCTGATTGGATTGAACGTCCAGCACGATGCCAACCACGGAGCCGCCTCCAAAAAGGCCTGGGTCAACGATCTTTTGGGACTCGGAGCCGATTTTATCGGAGGAAGCAAGTGGTTGTGGATGGAACAGCACTGGACGCACCACTCCTTCACCAACCACCACGAAATGGACCCCGACAGCTACGGAGCCGAGCCCATGCTTCTCTGGAACGACTACCCCCCGGGCCATGAAAAGCGAAGATTTGTGCACAAGTTTCAGGCCTTTTATTACCTCTTTGTCTTGGCCGGGTACTGGGCCTCCGCTGTCTTTAACACCCAGATCCTTGATCTGAAGCAAGCTGGAGCCAAGGAGGTTGGAATCAACATGGAAAACCCATACATTCGAAAGAGCCGAAAGTATGCCATTGGCCTCCGAATCCTTTACATCCTGACAAACTGCGTAGCCCCTTTCTACACGGTCGGAGGATTCTCGATGGCGGTCTTCGGACACATTTTGGTCATGGGAGCCGCCTCGAGTCTTACCCTCGCCACCTTGTTCGCGCTGTCCCACAACTTCGAGAAGGTGGACCGTGACCCCACCTACGACACACGTCATGGAGGAGAAGGAACCTGCTGGTTCAAGTCCCAGGTAGAGACCTCTTCCACCTACGGTGGATTCATCTCGGGGGCGCTCACCGGCGGCCTCAACTTTCAGGTCGAACACCACTTGTTCCCGCGCATGTCCAGCGCCTGGTATCCCTTCATTGCCCCCAAGGTCCGCGAGGTCTGCAAGAAGCACGGGGTCCAATACGCTTACTACCCATGGGTCTGGCAGAACCTCGTGTCGACTATCAAGTACATCCACCAAGCCGGAAACGCATCCAACTGGGCCCACGGAAACCCGTACACCGGAAGCCAATAGATAGAGAACTCAATACCCATCAATGCGACGCACAAATTGGTCAGATGCCTGTCCGATATGACGTATATTCGTAGCTAATGAACTTATCGTAAAGAACAGAAAAAAATAGAAAATACTGCCTGTAGGACTTTAATTCCATATTGTACAAGAAATTGGCGACTTTGTGATCTCGCACACCGGTGTCGAGTACAAACAGAAGTCTGATGGAACCGAAATGGAACGTTAAGTATTTGCTCAAGACCCCAGCGACTCGGCTCGGCTTGGCTTAGTTCAGATCGGGATTTAGGCTTGGGAGCTCCAGGCCCGCCCGTGCCGCGGCGCGACGGCTCATTTCCTTCGGCGACAGCTGGTTCTCGGCACCCGTGTCGAGCTTTTGCAGCCTCCGCCGCTCGGCAATGTCTCTCTGAAGGACCATGTATTCGTACGCCAGTTTCGAGAGCTCGGCATTGCTGCTGCTGCTGCCCCCGTCCTGAGTTGTTGCGTGGGCACGGTACCGATCGAGGACGTGTGCGGCGGTGGCGCTCTGGCTTCCGCGCCTGGCTTCCCGCTGGGCAGCGGTCAGCTCTGTCGGATCCACCTTGAGCCGGCGCAGAATGCTCCGCAAGACGTGGACGGGTGGGATTTTCGTGTACGCCGACATGGTTGGTTTGGTGTTGTGTTTGGGGTTTGTTGCAGTGCTACTCAATACTTCGTACCACGCTTGTGGATGTTGTCTTGCCCCTTTATTAATGCGTCTTTCGGACAGGGAATGACAATGCCAGAATTCTATCTGTGACGATATGATGGGAGACGACGGAAGAATAGATATTCAGTACGGTACACTTTTTGTTTGTGGAGCATGGGAGAGACAAATAAATTGAGTTACTCTCAACGAGTGAGACGAAACTCGGAAATCCGGAAAACAAGAAATGAACAAGCACGGTTGGCTTCATGGAATGAGTCGATCGAGTCAATTGACGTTGGATGATGGCTGCTTCACTTGGCCTGTGAGTTGCTGTTTGCGAGCTTCCACGAGACAATTTCGCATGTTGTTCGCAACCAAAAAAGATCTCCGTACTGAAATCAACCAGATGTTACGTAGGCCAAAACCTGGAGTATTTCTGAAGTAAACCATGCGTTGGTTTTTCGTACAAACAGGTGTCACCAAGTTTTCGATGGAAATGAAGGTAGCAAACCCAAACTGGTACGGTTTGGTACTGTTCTGTTCTATCATAGGACACCAATGCCATTACATCCCAACAAAGAAGAATACACGCACTCTCCCTCCGCTTGACCTCCCTCCCATAACGTCCCCTGCCCCTCCCTAATCGTTGATATCGTTTCGACTTTAATCGGTGCAACAAAAATATTGTTATACATCAGCAGCAGAAACGACCACGCGCCAATTCGATACATCAGATCAAATTCGTATCGTCGAAATTTTCATCTTAGTAGAGAGCAATCCCGGTCGAATCAATCGGTCGAACCAATAACTATGCCAACTACGGGTCACCCTTTCACGATACTGCTGCCGTCTCTCGGGGGGAGACGCTGTGGCGTCCGGGTTTTCCAAGGCATACCGACGCATTCTGTTGCCTTGCTATTCATGATTGCGCTTCTCGCGCTGTCGGGCAAGTGCCGCTCCGAACCGAACGCAACCCTCGTGAGTGCCACCAGAAGAAGCCCCTATCTAATGGTGGATCCCAAGCCGCCGCCCCCGGATTGCCACAGAACGTTAGCACCGGCCTATTTCCTCGAAACCACCCGCGAGGCCCACACACTGGTGGTGGAACTCCCGCAAAAGGTGTCGAGGAAAAACCTCGGAATCGACGTCGACTACCAAACCGGGAGCATCACGGTCCTCGGGTGGTGGAGCGAGCGGAAGATCCGAGGCGAGGCCCCACGCAAGATGTGCGTGCACCACATGTGGAGGATCGATCCCTCTCTCATGACCGAGGAGGCTGTCCGGTCCGAGGATTCCGTCTCCGTCTACGACCTGGTCATGTCGCTGCGGGACCAGCGGCTGGTGCTGTCGCTTCCGGTGTCAAAGTGTACAACGGAAAATGACGGCTTGTCGCCACCGGCGCCGCCGCCCTCACCGATTGTCCCGAGCAACCATACCGAACGCATCGACCGCAACAAAAACAACAGCGACGACGACGACAACGACAGCCAGCTCTCGATCATCATTGCTTACGGTACCACACTATGGAAACAGCTCCGAGGACTGTCTCGGCTAAAGGAACTCTCGAGACACTATTCGAATTTGCCGTGGGACGACGAAGCACTCGGATTCGAACCCGAAAGCGGCGGTGTGGGATTGCAGTCGCACCCGCAGAACAGCCTGGCTTATTTGAGATCCCGGCAGGTTGCACTGGAGCACTTTTTGACGCGCTCCATGGGTGTGGTAGAGAACAAATGGTACTGACGGATGACTAGCAACGCGAAACGCATCGGGGTGCGATTGTATCTCGAGCCGATGAAAAAACAGCTCCCGCACCTGCTTGTAAAATAATAATTCCTGTACTGCGGCCGATCGGGCTGCTATTATATCAAAAACTACAATCAGTGTCCTGCTACAGGCTTTATTTTGAAGAACCGACCTCGGCGATGCGGTTTCAGGGTTTAGGCTTCCAGTTGGCACGTTTTCAGCGACAAGTCCCACAACGCCCTTGCCTTGGCGTCGTCCATCGATTCGGCGCTGCTAGCGATCGCCGCGATCTCGGTAGCCCCCCGGGGCAGCTCGAAGTACTGCCCGCCTTTCCCGGCCGCCTCCGAGGTGCTCGCCAGCACGATCGTCTCGGCGCCGTCCTCCGGCGACCTCGTGACCCCCATGCCGAAGTACCGGAAGGGGTCCAGGACGAACCGCAAAAAGAAAATGCCAAGAGTCCCCGCTTGCCGATTGAGACCGGTCGTTGGAATGAATCCGGGGCTCAGGGCGTTGACCCGAACCGATGAATTGCCTGCTTCCCCGCCATCCAATCGACGCTGCAGCTCGTAGGCGTACCATAGGTTGCAGAGCTTCGATACTTGGTAGGCTTTCATGCCGTCGTAGTTTTCACGAGACGGAACGAGACCCTCTGGAAAGCTCGGAAGCAAAAGTTTCTTCTTGACTGGATCGATCTCGATCGCTTCGTCGCGATCGGCGGTGGTTTTCTTTGCCATGTACTCGTTCTTTTCGTGCAAACTCGAAGAGACAATCGTTACTCTCGCTCCGCCCTCGGCCCGTTCGAGATCCTCCAACAAGAGCTGCGTCAGGAGAAAGGTACCAAAATGGTTCACGCCGACGATTTCTTCGAGGCCGTCCGCGGTTTCCCGAAACGGCGTGTCCTTTCCCCATCCCACGCCGGCGTTGTTCACGAGGATGCTCAGCGACGAGTCCGGCCGGTTGGCGTCCGGAATGGCGCCACCGTCAAGGGCGTGGATGTCTTCGACGAATTTGCGAATCGAAGCAAAGGACGACAAATCCAGATGAACGTACGCGACCTGGCTCGAAGGGTGGGCGGAGCGAATTAGGTCCTCGGCCGCCCTACCCTTTTCGTCGCTCCGGCACGCCAGGATCACCTTGTATCCGAACTCGGGGGAAGCCAGTTTCTTGGCGGCAATGAATCCGATCGACGAGGGAGAAGCTCCAGTTACGATTGCGTACTTCATGGCGGGGTTTTGGTTTGTGTTGCTACCCAAGTTGTTGGTGCTTGCGTGATGGTTTCAGATCGTGTTTTTTCGTAGCAATTATCTACTTTTTCGAACAGTTTGGAACTGTGGAACAAGAAGAAAAAAGATCCAAATAAATCGTTCCCGAGCTACTTTTTCGATTAGGTCTTTTACTTTTAACTTGCGGGGCTCTCCATGCGATAGGGTACTACCGTACGGTACTAGTAGAGAATGAGAGCTAACGGTATTGGCACATCATATCAGTCCACTTACGTCAATTTCGGAGATTGAAGATCAGGTTTTAGGGGATGGTCAGAAAATAAAATTATTTATTGATTAATTTGAAGTTAGTTACTTAATACTATTGAAAAACTTTTGAATATTGTTACTACGAGTTTCGTAACAATTGAAACCGGACTCCGCCAGAGAGCAAAAAGTAATAATTTCAAGTTCTAAACTCCGCTTTGAAGTTATGAACTTCAAAATGTCCCGGTAGAAAGTCTACCAGGTTCTACTGAGCTAGTTTTTGGATGGCATTCATGATTGAAAGGCCAGGATTCATAATTGAATCACCTCGAACCATTTTGTTTTGTTTTGAGGGAAATCGATTCGGTCATTCAGTCATTTTAAAAACAAGCTCAGTAGAACCTGGTACATGATGTACGAGCAAAAGTTAATAACTTCAAATCAAAGTTTAGTCCGGTTTCAATTGTTACGAAACTCGTAGTAATTAGTAGTAAATTTTATTAATTACTGCCTGCTGGTGTAATGCAACGAGTACAGTACCGTAGGAACAGTATGGAGGACCACTCGTTGGTTCAATCATGAGTCCCCGGGACCGGAACTACTTAAATATAGTACATACTAGGTCAGAACCTACTACTATATACTACTATAAGTCTACTAGTATCTACAACTACTATGTATTAGCTATGCTAAATTGAAGCGTCATTTATATCTGTGTATATATGTATACACAAATCAAATTCTCAAAAAGTGAGCAAAAAACAGCTCAGAAACACTCCAAAATGGTATTCACTTCAACTGAAATGGTTCCTTTTTGGTTCTACTAGTATGTGGAACTAAGTGACAGCTTGAGATGCAGGATGTAAATTAGTAAGACTATCATTCCATGCGTAGAGCTATGTACTGTTAGTAAGCTGTCACGTCTTTTTTCGAACCAATACTCGTACCATACGTACGCTACCTTGTACTTCGTACATCATGGTACGTACGTATTACGTGTATTGGGTGATTCCCGCAAACATATTAATATGTAAAAATGAGGTCGGCCGGCTCGAAAAAATATGCCATTTACATATTTTTTATTTGGAATCCTTGACTTAACCATTTCCAGTCTCGGGAGCAGGCGCCCCTTAACTGGCGGCAAACTTCTTCTTTCGATTCAAGTGTCAAGAAAAAAGCACATGATCTTCGCAACAAGAAAAGAGAAGGAAGAACGCCAAGGACAAAGAGAGAGAAGGAACAACAAAGAGAGAGAGAAGGAAAACCAAAGAAGAGGAACAGCTGGTGTGTCGTGCTACTAACAATGCTGATGGTGATGGCTGGCGCATGGAGCCCCATACAGATTCTTCTGTTTTGGAGGAGGGAAGAGAGCCGGCGCTATCTTGAGAGGGAAGACATTGAAATCCCGCATGTGATTTGCATACCAGTGGTTCCCTCCTCCTCCTCTTTGCCGGCCCCTCATAAAAAGAACAGAAGGATCACCATGGCTCCAGCTCCAGTACCAGCAACAGCAGCTGGTGCAAGGTCAACAGCGACAACAACAGCTGCAAGGTTCGCTCCAGCAACAGCAACAGCAGCAACAGCTGCAAGGTCAAGGACTGCAACAAGGCCGACTGCTCACCAAGAAAGAGGCGGAAGATCCAGGGGATCCACCAACTACACCAGGAGCGAGACAATGTCCCTGCTGACAACCATGAGGAGGATCCTTCCTATTGGACCAGATCAATGGAGAGAATTCATTGATACCCATGAAGAGAACTGGGGGACTGGAAGAGACAGAGATTCAATCACTAGGAAGTATGCATCCCTCCACAGGAGAAACGCTCCTACTGGGAATCCAAACATCGATCCAGCTGTCAAGCTGGCAAAGGAGATCAAGAATCTCATTGGCGCCAAGGCTGCTTGTGGGGATGGAGAGGAGGACTTTGATATGGAAGAAGGATACATTATTAGTGAGGAAATCGGCACTTTCGAGAACAACAACAACAACGCCAACACTGAAAGTCCTCCTCCTCTCGGACAGCCTTTGCAACTTACTCAGCAAGAAGGAATGACACCAACACAAGAAGGAATGACACCAACACAGCAGGTCACTCAAGATACTCAAGATATGACACCAACACAGCTTGGTGATGAGATGCCAACTCAGCTGGCTCAAGCCAGCACACAACAAGAACAAGCAAGTTTCAACACTGTTGTTCCACAGAGTACTCCGCGCCCATGTCCTCCTGCCAAGAGACCATACTTACGAGTCAGAGGAGGAAGCAGCGCCACCACCAGCACAACTGACTTCCAATCCATGTTCCAGATGTCCCTGCAACAACAGCAAGAAGCCCTCGCTATCCAGTCCAGGGAACAGCATCAGCAGTCCATGGAAATGAATCAGCAACTGTCTCGTCAAAGCATGGCTCAAATCAAGACAATGGTTGCTGAGATTGCAGGTGCTTTTCTGCAACGTGGGAAGAGGAGAAAGAAGAGAAAGAGGAAGAACAAGAGCAACACGTCGTTATTGTCATCGTCMTCCTCCTCATCCTCCTCGTCTGAAGATGATTCAGAATAACAAGAATCCCATGGTCAGTTACTTATTATTATTATTCTACTAAACTAGTTTGCTGATTGCTGTTTGCTTCCCCCCCCCTAGTAGTACGCTGATTGTTGTATTGCTGTTTGCTCCCCCCCAGTTTGCAATTTTTGAGTACTGGATGCAAAATACTGGTTGATACGCAATACGCGATACACCGTGTTATTCCAGTTCCAAGCCACGCATTACACCGTGTTACACCGTGTTATTTATAGTTTTCTTGCATACCTTCCCACCAAAACCGGTACTGGTAACAAAGGGGGAACACTCCCTGGAGCGCTCCGGAACGCTCCATGTGTGTGCCTGGAACGCTCCATGTGCAACGCGTTCCCGTGGGATTGTTTCCATGTGCAACGCGTTCCCCTTCTATTACCGGTGCCGGTTTTTGTGGGAAGGTATGCAAGAAAACAGGTATAACAAAAATAACACGGCGTATCGCGTGGCTCGGATATGAAATAACACGGTGTATCGCGTAGGTTCCTCCTTTCTATATTCTGTTTTTGCTGATCTCAGCTTTGCTCAGCTTTCATAATACTGCTAATTTGAACTAACTGCTGTAATTGCTACTAATATTTATCATAGACCAAAGAACTAAATGAAACTAAAAGGAAACTGAAGAATGACCATGGCAAATCCCCCCCACAATCGACCATCGACAATCAACACAATCGACGACCATGGCAAATCCCCCCCAACAATCGACAATCAACACAATCGGCAATCAACACAATCGACAATCAACACAATCGACAATCAACACAACCCCCCCCCCCCCAACACGCAACAATTGACACTTCGACACTTCAATGTAAGTATTGGAATGCTGAATTAGCATCTCCATCAGGGCCCCTCTCATAGGAGAAATATCCTATTTCGCGTTGTGCATATGTGTTCCTCATCTCTTCATACGACTCAAAGCCATTGGTATCACTCATGAAGGTGTTGAGGATCTGATTAACCCCCACTGTGCTGCACTGATAATTATACAACAAGAACAAGAGATTAAGAATGACCTTCCGGTCTCCAAGCTCTTCCAAGGTAAGCCTCTCCTTCATCCGCGGAAATTGCCCTTGAATCATTTGCATGCCCCATTCTGATAGCTGGCGGACAGCTGTTGCTTGCCGATTGATTACTATTGCCTGGTTGTTCTGTGCCATTGTGGGGAATTTATCTGGATCATTTTGCTGGCTTCTAAAGAGATACTTAGCTCCTCTCACCCTGAACGCGGAATCCACAACAACCTTTCCCCCTGTCCTGTTATATACCGTTTCTGCCTTCTCGTATAGGCCATAATCTGCCATGGTGCTGTCATGCATACTCCCTGGAAAGTTGAATGTGGCTGTCCGGATTCTTCCATCTGGTGCAAAGAGAAGGACGCTATTGACGTACGTGTCACTAACCCATGAGTTATAATAAAGGGCTTGAATATCCCAGTTCGTGGAATGCTGAAGTTTAATTTTCAGTCCATCTGCTGCACCCCAGACCTTATGTGCTCCAAGCGCAGGATATTTCCTTCCTATTGCTGCAACATATGCCTCCACTTCTTCATTGGTTGGGGGCCTAATGATTGCTTTTGGGTGTTTCAACCATTTATAGAGGGGTGTCGAGGTAAGCCCAAAAACCATACTCAATGTTCTGGCTGATGATCCTCTTGTTCTGTACCAAGTCAAGGCTAATGCAAGTCCAACTGTAGCGTTGAGCGCCCTCTTATTGCCCTTTGGTTTGCCTTTCTTAGTGAACYKTACTGGTCTGATCTCCAAGGTGTTTTTGTCCACTGTATATGCATCGAAAACTGGTTCAAAAAGGCTGAGGAGATCCCTAAAGACAGGATGGTCAACGCCACAACAGTTTAGAAGAGCCTGATTATCACCACTAGCTATCAAACAAATGAGTGAATGGGGATTCATTAGACTCCATGAGTGCAATGCGTGGAATCCTCCTGTCACGTCCACGCCTGTCTTCTTCAGACAGTCTTTGTTTTGCTGGTGTCCTGCTCTCCTCTTGCTGCCGGCGGCGCTCCTCTTCTTCCTCGAGGGAAGCTGCCCAGGCAATTAAGAAGACCATCTGAGGGGTCATGATTGTAGAATAGTGTGGTGTTTTTACTATGCAGGAGGAATCGATGGCCAAATAGTGAGGATAGGGACTGTTTTGTGCTGGTTGTTGGTGTTGTTCTTTTGGAGGAGGATTCGTTGATTTTGGAGAAGGATTCTGTTTCCGAAGTTTTGAAGGCAGAGCTGGTTTAGTGAAAATCCCAAAGTTCCCGCCACTTTGGAATTTTGTGAAATTGCATGCAATTTATACAGGATTCCAAATTCCGAAAATGGGGGGAAAATATGTAAGTGAAAATCCCAAAGTTCCCGGTACTTTGGAATTTTGTGAAATTGCATGCAATTTATACAGGATTCCAAATTCCGAAAATGGGGGGGAAATATGTAAGTTGAGATCGAAATCTGTGTCTTCTGTACCACTGAAACTGATTCCCGCTGACATAAACCGAAATATGTTTGCGGGAATCACCCATTATGTACAGTAATCATGAAGTAAACCCGTTCGTCCGTCGCACTTGAATAAACCCTAATTCTACTGTAGATCAATGAACACTTCAAATTTTTTATCATGTGTCGAGCTGAAAATGGCGGACCATCTCAAGGATGGTCAAAGAGCTTCTCGTAGTCGTTGTTATCCTTCTCCCCACACCCCACGAACATACTGATAAGAGCCAAGAGATTTGATTTACCCTTCGACGACACAACCTGCGTTAGCCAACTCGATAGAAATAGAAGCTGTTCAACATGGGTGACCTAGTTGGCTCTCGAAAGTCGACGAATGTGAGTGATTTTTTGTGATTTGCATCGTATCTATGCAACCGAAAGGCCAATAAGTTTGTTCTATTGTGTTTCCTCACTAGTTTTTTTATCGATTGTTTGATTCATTTCGTTTCTGTTGATGGCGTTGTGCAACAAATACAAAACATAGTCGCGGCTGCCCCCGGAAGTAAACCGAATATTGTATGTGCGAAATCTTCCCTTCACGATGACAGCCGAGGAGCTTTACGGGATTTTTGGCAAGTACGGCGCCGTTTACCAGATTCGCATGGGAGAGAAACACAAGGATACCCGTGGGACGGCATTTGTGATATACGAGGATATCTACGACGCCAAGGCCGCCGTGGACCATCTCTCGGGATTCAACGTAGCGGGTACGTACGAAAGATGCACGACAAGGCATTCATGTCCTCAATTCCTCGGTCTTTGCAATGCGTTGGTTGATTTCTTTCGATGCCTTTTCGTTTTGTGAGTTCATTTGTCTCATTCACTGCTGCTGTGATTGCGTCGCATCAAACTCGCGATTAGGTCGGTACTTGGTGGTACTGTATTACCAACCCGCCAAGTTCCAGCGCCGAGCTGAGGCGGAAGAAAAACAAAAAGAGCTCGAAGAATTGAGACGGAGGGTCCAAAAGAAAAAGGCTCAAATGGCAGCAAGGGGAGAGAACTGAGTGTTATAGAGCTGATCAGAATTGATTGAATTGAATTGTGCCATCCTAATCAAAGCAATCCGTTAGGTGCAAACGCTAGGGAGGAATTGCGATACAAAATACTGTAGTCTAAAAGGGGGAAAACCTCCAATTGGCGTGTCACAACTGCTGCTGGTGAATGCCGACATGGCATCAATCGAACACAACCAAATGTATAGATTTTATTGGTGTCGAACTATACAGTCTTCGGCAGACGATGCATTGGAATGAATGACTGGGAGGATAAATAATCAAATGAGATTTGTATTTTACAGTTAGAGGATGACTACCCGGAGAAAAAGGTTCCATAACTATTCACGCCAAACTGTTTTTGTCTAATGGTTCGCCGAGTGACTGCATGATCTGTGTACAAAAATCTATTGGATTTATGCTGTTGGATCTTTCGCAATTATCGTTCTTCCCACTTTGGTATTCGATCCGTGCAGCGTCGCCCCGGTCGATCAACTACTACCCGGTCGGTTGACTTTGAGGTTCATCAGGTTCAGGGACAGGGTTGCCACAGTTACTTTCCCAACCTGGGGAATGTAACGAACGTCCGGTCGCTCCCGAAACAGAGTGGCCTCACAGACATTCGGAACCTCAGCCACATTGACGATCGTCGCTCCCTCCCGGATGCTCGAGATGGGGATGCGAAAGCTTGCCTGAGGTACGCCCGCCACCACCACGTTCGACTCCCTTGTGCAGCTTTCGAGGCTCGTGGTGGCTGGGTTGCACCGGCGGAGCCGTTTCCCGTCGGGCCGGAACTGGAGAATGGAATCAATGTCGATGGAGTAGACCGTCGCACCCTTTTTGGCCAGCATCACCGCCAGTGGCCGGCCCATGATTTCTGAACGGTTTATGATGCATATGGTCTGGTCTTTCCAGCAATCGTTTGGCTGATTATTACGTCTGCCCATGTGGTACTCCTCGAGGATTTTCAGAACACTCAGGGCAGTACATGGGTATGTTGCCGGAGAATTTTTCTGCTTTGAATCCCGTATCTTGAACCACTTGTTTCGACACAATCCCTCGACGTCCTTGCCCGGAAGCAACAGGTCCCGGATATGGTCGTCTTGCGTCTTGTAGTATACCCCCATCAGCTTGTTTTTGTAGGGGCCCTTTGGTCCAAAGGGATAGATAGGATAGAACACGAGAGCCCCATCGATATCTGTGCGTTCATTGATACGATGTATCCGGTCCTTGATCCATTGGATCTTAGCCTGCTGCTCCTTGTCGCTGCCGTTGTCGCGGGATTCCAACTCCGGATACCGCCAGACCTCGTAGTCGATTCCGTCCTCCTCAAAGGTGTGTTTGATGCGTTCAGAATATAGATCAGAGTTGATGCGATGGGATCCCTCGTTCGCTAGGACACCGATCAGCTTCAAGCGCCCGTTCTCCGAGGTGTATTCCCGGACCCTTGCTCGGAGCGAGCACGCGAGCGGCGACACATCTATCGCAGACGGGGAGGGATACAGCGCGTTCCAATCCGCTGGCGCTGTTACCACAGATTCCGTCGACAAACGACGACAATGGCCTCTCCGTCTTGGGTGGCGGTAATTTGTGTGGTTGTGCCCACATCGGGAAGCGAACAGTGCTGTTGTTTTCGCGGTCGTTGCTGGAGCAAGAGAACGAAAGAAACGAAACCGACCATCTGTACAGCGAATGTTTGGCGCATACCTTGCCGTATACGGGCATCGTGCTGCCTGTAGCGTGCTGAAGAACATGTTTGTGCGCATATTCTTAATCCCTACCCCATGGTTTTGATGTCAGTGTGGTAAAACTTGTCGGAGCGACGATCAAGAAAAGACTTTCAGTGTTTAAATTCAAAAGTTTGTGAATCAAAAGAATGGCATTGATGTGTCGATGATTATTCAAGTTTTCGGATCTGTTGCGAATATCGATCGACTTTGGCGAAGGACAGACGATCTAAAAAAATTGAAATTACTACTCGTACCCTTCGTAGGTACGTTAAATTACGTTACCGTGTACCGTAGCGTACCGGTACCTAGTAAATATAACCTGTGAAATGTTGTTAGGCTCTCTACTGCATGATAATACGTGGTCTACAATAAAGAGTGAGGTTATTCACTAGCTACTCGTGATCGTGGCGTGTGTACTACCTCACATTTACTACCCACGAATTAGTTCCTCAGAAGTCCTCCGGTGAGTTATCGCACTACAGATGGATATTATTTTCAGTGACAAATCTAGCCTTTTATTTCATCTAAATCTAAAGATATCCATTCACATACTTGTAGGCTCAACTACTGGATACTTCCTTTAGTGGGGACGTTTCAATCATTTTTGGACGTCAGTATTTTGACAGAGGCATTCACCAGCAGCAGGAGGAAGGCTTCGAGCTCGAAGATCGATAATCTAGAATGAAGTAATATTTTTTGCGCACTGCGAGGACAGCGGAATGAAAACAAACAATTCTCTTTTGCAAGCTCCCAAACAATCAATGCTTTTATGCTTGCGTGCTGTGGTCTATTGTCAATGTTACCAGATTCTTCGGTTTGTCGAGTGCCGTTTTTCAGGCGATATCATTGTCGGCTCCGGCCATTGCGTGGTAGCCATAGTTTTGGTCGTCGTGGTGGTGGTCCTGACAATCCCCAGCCTCTGTCTCCTGTGCGTGTGATTGGTGCCGACGCTGCCTTATTGTTTGCCGGGAAAACTTCAAGCGCCGCTCGCTGATAGTGGCCTGCATCCCCGCTATTTCCCTCAGGTCGTTATCGATGCCCTGGATCGCCGCGTCGCGGATCCCCGAAATCGGCACGTCGTCCCGCCCACTTCCGAAGGGATCCGACAGCTTGATGGATACCAGCTCCAGACCGATAAAGCCATAGGTGAGGAAGAACAAAAAGGTCTGGGCCGACCACATGTCCGAAAAGGGCCCTTCTAGAAGCACCAGGGGCATCGAGAATGTCCATATCAACAGAAAGGCCCTCCCCATTTGCACCAGCGGAAAAGGAAGCTGAGTCGATGCCAGCGTGAGCAGCGAGGTGTAGCATGTTGCGTATTCCTGGAGCTTGTTCGTCAGGTGGACCCGTTCTAGAAGCTCGAACCCCATGGCCGGGGTGCAATAGAGATGCAGTCGCAGTGATTGGATCTGCAGCAGGGGATCCAGAAGCATTGTCTCGGCATCCTCGTCTCGTGACCCACCATTGAGGTCGACGGTTCTAGAATCGTAGCTGCTGCTCGATGTGAGAATCGAGGGTCCGCTTTTCGTCACGGGCTTGTTGTAGGCAAAGTGCTTGGCCAGCGATCGGTCCTGCAGAACGCACACCGAAGAATTCAACAACTCCTTTACCTTTTCTACGCATTCCAATCTCCACTGTCGGAGTTCTTTTTCCCTCTCGCTGTTTTCGATATTGTTATTGCTGTGTGCGATGGATATGGCCATTGCCATTTGTATCAGTTCTCTGAGCAGCGTGGATCCACGGCCGGCGTATTCCCGAACGGCCCGGTACCGATCGTAGGCCAGGTTGACCTTCGATACAACCAAAAAGGAGACCAGCAGTGTCAGGAGCCCGTGGCCGTTCGGTGAAAATCCCAAGCGAAATTTCTCTCGGCTGTACGATACTAGGGCCAGTAACAGGCAGTTGATCACACACAGAGGAAGGACAGCAAACATGATGTTTCCCTCGAGCCTGAAAATCACCTTCCATAGCGAAACCGCGCTTCTCCGGTACGAGGTCTGCCTGAACGACATTTTACTTCCTTTGGAAAAGAAAAGCGAGATCGATCGAATGGAAGAATGCTGCAGTAGTGTGTTTTATCAGTGCACCAAACGAATACAGGAGCAATGGTATGCGGGTCGTCGTAATGCAGTGGTTTCGGTGGAACGCTCCAATCCCGATAGTACGGTGCTGAGATGATGTTTCAAACAAAATCTTCCCTGAGGACTGCCGGCCGGCGTTTTTTGAACCGACGGTAAAATCAGTCGTGATTGGTTCACGATTGGTTCACGACTGAAATCGGTTCTCTCGGACCAACAAAAAAACTCGAGATGCTTTCAACAAGAAAACAGGCCTCGTTTCTGTTCAACAAAAAATGAGGCCTGATTCTGTTCTACCCCAGGAACAGGAACCGTCGTAACTCTGGCTCCGACTTACATACTCTGGCGCCAACAGTCTAATTGAATAGAAGGAGTGGAAAGTAGCAAACAATACCAACCTGTAAGAACAAAACCAACACCAATTCACCAGCATGGAAGGAGCCGAAGGCGGCGAAGCCGTTTCCCGAAAAGTAATTGTCGTGGGGATGAACCGCCCGCGCCTTTTAAAAATCATATCGATGGTAGACGACGAGGTCGCTGGGGGCAACGCTCCAACCGGGGTGGAATACGTTCCGTGCCTCGCTGCCATGTCGTCGTACGAAGCAGAAAACGGGGATGCAGTCCGGTACATGTCCGACTTTGTCTTTCGCGACGGCTCCCCGATGAGCAGCTTTTTCGACGACGAAGCCTTCCGCGAGTCGCTCGACACGGTGGTGATGGTCGGCTACGAATGGCAGGAGAACGACAAACAGCTCGTCGAGAAGTACTTCGAATCTAATCTGCTCTCGGTCACGATTGTATGCGTCTCGCCAAATCCGGGTTTTTCCTCGCTAGGCGAGGAAATGAGCCATTTCAAGAATCTTTCCGACGACGAGAAAGAACGGCACACTACAAATCATACCATGGGTCCCAAGAAGATGAAACGATTCATACTCGACACTACAACACCGTTGCAAACAACCACGGAGAAAAAAGATTCGGCGGAAAAAGACAACGCCGTTGAATCCCTCGACGGAGAAGAAAACGAGATTGAAATAGATTCGCCACCCGACAAGCCAAAGGAGGAGGAGGAAGTTCCACCAAAGAAAAAGATTCCGGTAGCCATCGACCATAACGCGACATCTTTTGCGTGCCGAATGTGCCGAACGGTGCTCTTTGGAGAGAGTCATCTCGCCGACGATCACAAAAAAGCTCTGCACTCGCTCAAGCGGACACCCAACCGTGCTTCCGGAACCGTGGCTTCCTGCCAGTCGTTCTTTTGCGACGAGTCCGTCCTGGAGTGGCTCGCCCCGGACGGTGCGGACGTCGAGGGGAAACTCGCGTGCCCGCACTGCAACTTCAAGCTCGGTCACTGGAACTGGTCCGGTGCGCAGTGCTCTTGTGGGACATGGGTGGTTCCGGCCATCCAGATCCCCATGGGCAAGGTAGACGTGATCCTGCCGCCCTCCGAGAGGGCAAAGGTTTCTCCCATCATGATTGTCGCTCCAAAAGCATCCTATGCATAGAAAAGAGGCCGACGAATTCTTGTTATTTCCTCTGGGATTGCAAGCAATAGAAAACTTTCCTTATTCTTCTCAGCCACTTGTTTGTTTGACGATTCCCACTCAACAGTGGCTAAGTTTTTAATCGCAAATATGCAGGGATTGTTCGCATTATCATTACTTATTTCAATGTTTGAATTGAGTCAGATTCTTCTTCACTCACACATCATAACAGTCACTGTGGAATACTAACACTGCCAGGCGAAACCAGGAGGAGGAGAAAGTGCCTGCTGATAGCACCAATAATACCGCTGCTAGTAGTACTAGTAGTAGTACTATTACTACTGTAGCATTTGGACTATTGGACTGAAATCAATAAAGGTCAGCAGCAAGCATTCAATGGTGGAAAAGAAAGGATGTGAGGCAGAAATATTCCGATCGTGAAGAATAACAAAGATAAGTATTAGATTCAAAATAATGATGATGATACTAATAATGTGACAGTTGGCAGTAACAATATTACTCCTCGTCGTACCATACTTGGTACGAGTTCTAGGACGTAATTTATAGAAAATCAATCTACTATGTGGTGATGATGGTGATGAGATGAGGTATGTTTCCTGTTGCTCATAACCTGCAAAATGTATGTATGCTCTTTAGTGTTGTATAATACGGGGATTACAATAAAGAGTGAGTGAGTGAGTGAGTGAGTGGAGGAGCTTATTACTGTCACTCACTATCTACTCGTGATTTACTACGTGGTACTGCCTTGCAAGTAGTATGTGAAAAGAAACCCACAAAAACCATAAGACCTTAAATTTGAACTCTGTTTGGTCGAATGAGTCAGATTAGAAAATTATGAGGTATGCGAGATCTCGGGCAAAGTTGTAAATAAATAGGAGCTCTCGTAAAAGCATTCCGTCAAGTACAGTAAAGTACGTACCTGTACGAGTACCGTACTTTAGTTGACATCTGTTGCTTGGGAAAAAGAATTCAAATAGTGGGAAAGATACGGTACGAGTAGTCGTACGAGTACGAGCAGGAGTACGTACTCTTGCCAACTGCTACTCGTGCTTCGCCGTGTTCCAGTATCTAAGCCTTTCTCCCTAGTCCACCTTCGATTCTCATGAAAACCACGATCCTGTGAATCCTCTTCTAATCGAAGACGTTCCTCCTTCTTTCCCAAAGTATTCTGTGACCGTGCTCTATCGTACCAGGAACCTGTATCTGTACTTGCACGATGCTAGTCGCCTCAACGATCGTCGAACATATTATTTACCGGCCGATAGTATTTTCCACAGACCATACAATACGGTACAATCGACATACAAATTCGTCGTTTCGATCGAGAAAGACAAAAATATATTCTTTAAACCAGCCGTGCAATTCGCTTTGTATTGATTTGGAAACCGAGAACACACGATGGTGACTGCACTAGAAATCATTAAGGACAACACCGAGCTGGACTACCCGGACGCGTTGCTGGCTGCGTGGGCAGAGATCATGGAACCAATCGAGGTCGAGGATGGCCACATATTCATCAAGGAAGGGGAAGGTAAGTACAAGTCGCGGTTCTAAACACGCCATGCCATTGACATGAATGTTTACCTGAGAAGAGGAAAGCAACAACAAAAACTTAAAACCATGTGTCCGTCTCTTTCACATACACGTGTTTCCTTCGTGTTTCCCAACATCCCGTCCCATGGAAGTCATCAAAAATATTGTGTTTGTCGAAAATGGGAAGCTGGTCCGCACCAAGCTCAGTGTCCCCGAAGAAGAACGGGCTGGGATTCTCGAAGCGGGGCTCGAGAAGATCCGGGAAAACTCGATTAAGATCGACGAGGTGCTTCCCGGGACGACTCCGACGGGGGTTTGGCATAGCTTCGAGGCGGATCGCGCGGCCTTTGCCACTGTCGCATCCTCTGGGCCCTGCAAGATATGGCTCATGCCCTCGGAGAAATTCCGCGCGGTGATCTCCCGACCGGAGTTCAGCATGGTGGTAATGGCGGCCATGGCCAACAGGATCCGGGTAGGAAGCAAGTCCATCCGGAATCTCCTCGAAAAAGTGAAAGACGGGGCGTCGAAAGACAGCTGCGAGAACGTTATCAAAATGCTGTCGTACGATTCCACGTCGTGGGTGGTCGAAAATTTTGATGCCGCCCTGGTTAAATTCAACGAAGACAACAAGAACGATCTGAAAATCGAGATCGATTATACTTCCGAGCGTCTTTCGTCCAAGACCGCTCATTACGCTTGTGGTGAGAAGACGTCGATTGCAATGGAATTGTGTCGTTCGAAATCGAATCGACCTGATACGTCCCTCACCTTGCTTTGATCGTTTTGGTTTCAAACAGGCTACGATGTTGTGTGCCTGTTCGTGAACGATACTGCGAACGCCGATACCATCAAGATTCTTCGCAAGTGCGAAGTGAAAATGATCTGCAACCGCTGTGCCGGGTTCGATCGGATCGACACAAAGGCCGCTCTGGCATATGGTGTCTCCCTGGCCCGCGTTCCTGCCTACTCTCCCTATGCCGTCGCCGAATTTGCTGTTTCATTGCTCATGGGCATCAACCGAAAGATCGCCAAGGCGTCAACCCGTGTCAAGTAAGCTTTGTTGCGCTTCGACCCAACCATGCAGGTTTTGGCCCTTGATTTACTCACCACTGATTTCATCGTATCCTTTTTCAAAAACAGGATGTCCAATTTTTCTCTCGATTCTGGTCTAATGGGTACCGATATCCACGGAAAGGTAAGCATGTGACTTTTTTTCAATTTCTGCCTTGTACTGTCGACGGTTGCCGAGTGTCGCCTTTTCTCACGCTGTATTGTCGTGTGGATGTGGCAAAACAAATCGAATGCTGCAGACGGTCGGAGTCATGGGGACCGGAAAAATTGGTCAGATTTTGTGCAACATCATTAAAGGATTTGGGGCGAACCTCATATGTTTCGATGTATTCGAAGCGGATGCAGTCAAGGAAATGGGTGGCAAGTACGTTACCAAGGGAGAACTCTTTGCACAATCTGACGTTATCTTTTTGATGAGTAAGTGAGGCACATCTCTGTATGTTGGATTAGATAGTTATTTCAAAACCAATCGTTTGTGCCGTAATTCACCACGATTCCTCGTTTTTCTGCCACTTGTTCTATGGCGACAGTGCCCCTTCTTCCGCCCACGAAGCACACCATCAACGCAGACATGCTCCACCTGTTGAAGCCCGGCATGCTTCTCATCAATTCCTCACGCGGCGGGCTCGTGGACACAAAGGCGGTCCTGAAGGGGATCCAGGACGGAATCATTGCGGGGTACGGTGCGGATGTCTACGAAAATGAGAGCGACTATTTCTTCCAGGATTGGTCCGCCAAGGCCGTTCCCGATCCTACCCTAGTGGCCCTAATGGGATCCAACAATGTTCTCTTGACGGCCCACCAGGCATTCTTCACGCAGGAAGCCGTCGACGCCATTGTAAACACCACCCTCTCGAACGTGAAACTTTTTACCGAGGGAAAAACAATGTATGACCACCCCAACAACTTTTTGCCGCGTCGTAACTAACATGCCATTGGTCGGATTGCGAAGCATTCATCTGTAATATGAGTTAATCTATTTTTGAATTTGGCTTTGATGTACCGTAATTACGAAACTCGGCATCGCAAACATCGTTGCGTGTTTCGTCATCGATGGAATGCAATGTGATGTCGATCACGTGCGCTGCGTGTATCACAATGATAATGTAACCTGTTCCTTTCGCGAAGACCCAATGATCTGTAAGAAAAGGCCGCTGATTGGCTAAACCATGAACCTGAATTGTTCCTGCAGGCAGGAGGTTTCTGGGCTTTAGCTAAGAGTAGTGCGGATCTAGGGATCGGAGCGGAGATGAAGATGAATCCTCAAGCTTGGCTAGAGGGAGTTTTTCTTTGAGGATAAATGTAGTGCGCAAATCATTATCCTAAAACCTTTTGCAATATTGCGTTTGAATCTGATTTCTGAGTGCCAATCCTTCTTAGTGACTTGGTGTAGTGAAACAAGGACGACACGAGAATTGCGATGCCGGCATTTCCAAGCCTGTTATAGCCCYWGGAGAAAAGCTACCGCGAAGGGTCCCCGGCACGCTAGCGGCTCCTCTGGAACRCAAGGGCGGCAGCCGCAACCCCAGAAGCCACCGCGAGGGTGGTTTCCTTCCCCCCCACCAGCCTGTCGTAGACCAGGGCGCAAACCGCCCGCACTTTCTTGGCGGGCGAGCGGATCGGTGGGGGAAACCCATCGATGGCGGAGGCGTAGGACGGCCGTTGCTTGAGCGCTGAGGAGTAGCTTTGTACCCTCGGCAACCCGAGCAAGGCCTCCTCCGTGTACCCTATGTCGTCGAGGCGCTTGAAGACTGGCGCCCACGCCGCATCCACGATCGTGAACCGGTCCCCGCACAGCCAGGRCCGGCCATCGGATTCGARCAGTKCATCCATGTCCCCCAGATCGGCTTTCAGCCTCTCGAACGCGAATGAGAGGCTCTCCCCCGACCGGGTCTTCGAGGCGGCCCGCTCCAGCCGCAGGCGACGGTCCCGGTAGAGCTTCGCCAGCGGGGGATCGCTGGAGGCAAACCGCGCCGCGTACAGTTTTGTGAGGCGCAACCCCTTGGCCTGCCGGAGGTACACAATRTAGGGCGGGAGGTACCTCCCGCTCCCCATGGAGATCGTCACGATATCGAGGGCGTCCATTCGGTCCATCCATTCGCTCGCGGTATTCTTTTCTCCGGCCGGTGGTACTAGGTCGATGTCGCTGAACGTTCTGTTGTATTTTGCCACTAGGAATTCGATGATCGCYCTCGAATCCACCACCACCGTTTTCTTGTCGATGTCCAAGTACGACGGGACGACCATGCCCGGGTTGATCCGCTTTGCGTAGGCAGGGTCGTAGTTTTCGCAAGTGACGATGTCGACCGTGGCGAGGGAGTGAGGCAGGCCCAGTTCAGCGGCAACCATACGTACCTTGCGGCTGCAATGGGACGTAGGGTAGTGGTATATGGTTGCCATTGGTTTGCTCTTCTTGTTCTATGTTGGTTGCTTGGTGGATATCTTATGCCATACCGTTTGGTACCGCACGTCGTTGTTCGGGGATCCCTTTTCATTTCAAGAAGATACCACGGGAAGGAGAACGATACCGGCCGCTACTGTTCGTACCACTACTGAACGGTSCGYACGATGATTTTCGATTTCGGTAGAATCCAGAAGAGCCCCTGCCGTTTCCAGTCGTGCTTGTCCGAATCGAAGGAGTCGCGTTCCAAAAGATCTTTTCAACCT